GAGCGGGAGGAGGAGGAGGAGGAGGAGGAGGGGGACATGTTGTGAGCCAGCACCCGAGAGCCACAGTAGCCCCTGGGTGTCACACAGAAGCCGGCGGCCTGTCCCCTCTTCCCACGCGAGCGGCGGGGGGCAGAGCTGGTGCACAGCCTGCTGATGGGTTCGCAGCTGATGGGAACACCCCCAAAATCCCCGGGGAGAAATCACCTAGTGGGATACAGGCTGTCCTTGGCCGCGCATCACCGGGCAGCAGCCCAAAGCCAGGGGGGACCCAGAGACAGGAGTCAGGAGCAGCCAGCCCTGTGCGGGGGAAACTGAGGCACGGACACTGGCGGCAGGAAGGGCTTGGCAGGGTTAAGCTCCCCTCTTTGCAGTGAAGAATGGGATTTCTTACAGCAGTCCTCTCTCAGCACCCTCCAGCTACATCCCGGAGGATGCTGAGGGTGTCAGCACGGCACCAAACACCCCCAAAAGCCCCCTCCTGCCCACGGGACCAGGCACGGTCCCAGAGATGGGCAGCGCGGTGCCATTTAGAGGAAAACCAAAGGTCTAAATGAGTTTCGGGTTAGGTTTTCTCCCCTTTTTTTGCTGGCTGGCAGGGGTCCATCGGCCAGCGGTAACCCAGGGCAAGGGGACCAGAGGGGACGCGATGGGGGACCGGACCAAACCTCCTCCCGGCTTGCTGATGTCTGCCATCGCAGGAAGGTGCCGGGCATTTCTCACCATTTCAAAAGCCATGTTTCTTGCAGGCTTTGCCTGTAAATGACTTTAATCTTCATAAGCCCGCCAAGTAAAGCTGCTTATATGGCTGGGGCCTGCTGGAGCGCTAGGAGGAACGGGGGAGGATGTGGACAAGAGGAGGGGGGGGGTTAGTCCAGGAGAAATGAAACCCTACGGTGGATCAAGCCCCATCGCATCCCTGTCCCGTCTCCTCCGGATAGCCGGACAGCCCGAGGTCTCAGGGGAAGGGGGTCGGGAGCACTCGACTTTCGTAGCTACTGCCATCTCCCCTCCCCACCGGAGGGCTCTTGAAGGCTGTGTGACTCCATCCTCCGTCCCACCTAGACCTGAGCTGTGCCCACTGTCCCAGCGCTCCCTAGTTTTTCCTTCAGCTCCCCACCAAGAGTCGTCTCGGTCCCAATCCTGGCCCCAAACGGACCGAGAGCTCCCGACTCCGGCTTTGGAACCAGGCAGCCGGTAAGGCCGATGCCCCACGCATCGGTTAATGCTGAATAATTCTCCCTTCGACGAAGGGAACTATTTTAAACCTGCTGAGCCCTGCGTGCTGGACGCCACCTCCACCCAACACCCTTTAAGAGAACAGGGACTCCGTGGGGACACCTCCTTTGGGGTCGGGGGTCCAGGACATGGTCCCCGTCTTCAGCCCCTTGGCTGAGTCAAGCAGGGCAGGGAACAAGGTCCACAAGGTCCAGGGATCGGCCCCAAAATGCATCCCCAGGTCTTCCCCCCGCCTGGTGCAAGCATCTCCAAGGGTGGAAGATAAGAGTCTGGCTTGAAGAGGAGCGTTGCCATCACTCGGCAGCTTCATCACTGTCACAGCCTCGCCAGTCCTCACGGGCGGGACGGAACCAAGCAATGCCCAGGCTGCTCATCCCAGCGATGTGGGGACCCCGGGCAGAGACGGGGGGGGGGGGCGCAGC